CTTTATTTACATACTACTCGTACAGTCACATATAATAATTATCATTGTAATGTAATATAAAACTTAAAATTAGTTTAATAACATGACTGTATAAATATGTTAATGCCGATAAATAAAAAAATAATAAAAACCGCGTACAATAAAATCTAGATAATAAGAATTTGAACTTTATTGTAAGTTTATACGTGTGTGTTTAAATCGAATTTTGGTTTTCTACCCTTGCTATCTATTCAATCCTTGGTTTATTTAATTTTTGATTTACACTGTTGAAAGTGTTAAACATTAAATTTTCAAATTGTTTTTAACAGTTATAATAATATAAAGAATTCCAATATTTTTGACAGTAACGACTTTCTTTTTATTATTTTTTTATTGATTTATTTTTTAATGAATTTTTCTCCTCTGTAGTAAATAACAAAAATTACAGGTCGTCAATTTTCCCTGTCCTCTCGACGAGCAGTAGACGAATTGTTTCCACATAAATAAATAGGGTGGGTGGACCTTGGCCTGCTTGATCACCTGAATTAAACCCAGTCGATTATTATCCGTGGTAGCATCTAAAATGACAAAATTTACTCCTCCGCATGAACTCAGTCGAACAAAACAAACAAAAATAAAAAAAGTGATTTTAAGTAATATTATTTTAATTGCTTCTTTCCATCAGATATTTCGCTCTAATTGCACGTTATCTAATATTTAAAAAAAAATCACTTCACTTCACTAGTTAAAAAACGATTCTTCAGAAAGAAGTTACCGTGGCTATTTCCGCTGAGCCGCTTTATAGGATTGTGTGGATGAGATCCGTTTGACAAAGCTTGGGTGAGACTATTGGGATGATGAGAGATTTCTACGGGGATTTGGTAAATTGCTCGATAAACGGGGTTTTAAGGTTATTGTGGAGCGTAGTATTGGAAACAGACCATTAGTGTTTTGTAGAATGTGAGTTTGTTTTTCGTCGGTAACTTAGATTTTCCACTCATAAATTTGTAGTCTTGTCGTTTTAGTTGAGTATTCTATATTATCGGGTACAACGCAAAGCATGCGAGTCGAGTAGCAAGTGTAGTCGGATATCTGCGATATAAGGGGTATAAAGGATTGGTCCAAACACCGTAATCCGATAGCCAGAGAGCAGTAGTTGGAGTAATTTCATCCTTGCCGGACCCGAAAGAACGCTCTGATAAATAAGAGTGGAACTTTAAGTAGAGGGTATTTATCAAGACTTAAATATGTACCGAAGACCCTTGTGCCACATGAGAAAACAAAGACTCCCATAAAATATTTGTTGTACTTCAAGGAGGAGGATACATGGTCTACAACGCAAAACATTTGCTAGACTGGGAGACTAAGAAAAGGGAATTTAATTTTAATAACATTCTTTCAAGAAAATGTTCGTTAGAAAATGGCTGATCCAGAGGTTGTTTTCCACATGAATAAAAAATTTTACTGAAAGAAAGAGAAAAATTCTCAAGACGGTTGAAAACTCATTGGTAACTTCAGCAATTTCGCTTTTTCCTATATTTTCTGATCAATGATCTATTTGTTAAAATTCTAGTTGGTTTCAATTATTTTTTTCTGTTATAAGAAATGTACAAAACAATGCTTGTTTTTATTGTTTAAAGCTGTATTATTATTTTTTTTATTTTAAGAAAGCAGACTTCTAGTCAAGAATGATATAGGATAAGGCGTTTTGCCAGGTGTAAAATAAAGTTCTTTTTTGAGACAGAACCCCCAAAAAATTCAGGACAAAATAAATACGAGTTACAAAGATTTCCCCATTAAAACCTTCTTTATTACAATCGTATCGTATGTATCTGGATGGACCGGACGGTTTTTATAATAAAATATGAAAACAAACGGTCCATCGAATAACGCTTCCAGCTCTAGGGGTTTGGCAGCTATCGAGGAAAAGCGTCGTGCATTATTGAATAAAAATCCGTTCCCTCCATTATAGCAAGAACTTGGAAATGCTAGACAAGTGCTTTCAGGTTATCATCTGTCTCGGCCAATATAATTTAAGCTAAACATTTCTCCTGGAAAAATGTAAAAGTTCTAAATAATAAAAATATTTCCATATATTACTCTGATATTGTGAAAATGAAACTCTTTACCAAGAAATAATTACCGACCATCTTCTGGCATTTTTTGATTAACCGTTATATCAAATTACAACATAATATTTTCAAACCTACATCTATTATCGTATTAATATGTGTTGGGAGAGAGATTTTAACCTCAATTATTAAAAATTTATAATCCTTTCGTTACAACTTTTGTTGCAATTAATGTTTTCAATTTGAACGTCTATGTTTACTGGAATTTCAAGTCAATCACTTAAAATCAAATCGTTTTCTTCCGACTTTTTTCCTTACCTGAATATTAAGTGCCTATTATTCTACAAATGTTTCCATCTTCTTCATTTCCAGAAAAAGCAATAGAAACGGTTTTAGTATATCTATTACAGTTCGGGAATTTCTCCCGGAGTCTTTTGTATACGGAACCGGAGTGTATTTATAATACAACCAAACAGAACAGCCCGTTTGATAGACTCTTAGCTACCAGTTAGTTTGTAAGGACCGACCAAAACGAATCTCATCATAACTCAAAAAAGAGAATTGGACTGTGCCGTTTAATTTTAGCGACTCGGACAAAATTTTACAAAACTTGCAAAAGTCTTTCGTTACCGGTGCGATTTTCTCCCCTTTTGAATGTTTTATGTATTTTTGGTTTTGTCTTATGGAGTTTCTACCGCTGGCATGGATGTGGCCGTTAATGCAAAAAGTAAATCCCTTGGCACCAACCCTTCAAAGCATTGGGTCACAAACGCTTTTATGGTAAGCAGTGCGTGTTCCAAAAATCGTTTGATGCTTAAATTTTAATCAATACAGTAAGAATATGTCATACGTTTTTAAAATTTGTAATTTCATTGAAGTTATATAAAATTGACCTTATCAATATAATTCTAACAATACGATTTTCTGTTACAATTTTTCAAAAATCTCTTTTTCTTCCAAAAATAAACCTACACTTCTCCAATAAATATATTAAAGGATAACTAAATTATATAATATAGAAAATATTGTCAAGATTGTTAGCCCTGTAACAAAATATTGTAACTTTACACCTCTTTCGGATTTTATCTGTTATTACTGATCATATTGAATTTGAAGAAACAATTTTTTAATGAAAAGTTTATTGACAAAGGTAAACAATTTTGATTTTCTTCTTTCTATTTTCCTCTTTTTTGGTTGTTTTCTACATTCTTTTCAATGCATTTTTGCTTTTAATTTTCTTGCAGTCCCTCCATCAGGTATTTTTACATGTAAATAAAACATTTTTCAATGTAATTAATAGCAATTAAGTAATGTTAAAAAACACAGACAATAATTTAAAAATATAAATATATAATACTTATATATATATATATATATATATAATATTTACGATGAAATTGCAATCTTATAGTTTAGGTCTTGTTATGTTCTCTAGCACCCAGAGGGAGAAAAAATAGGTTTAGGCATTAACATGGCGCGCATCCCTATCGTAAAGATCCTGACATATTTACAAATGGGCTTTATGTCAAAAACACTGATACCCAAGGGGTAACCTCTGCAAAAAATTCATTTAAAAAACCAAGAAACATAAAGATATTTTTGTTTTTCTTTTACTGTCACCCAATTGATTTGTCAGTCTACCTACCTAGCATATGATCTAACCAAAAAATTTATAATAAGTTACAGTTAAATTATTTTCTAACCAATGACATTTCTGTATTGTGTTTAATTTATATTTTTAATTACGAAATCTTCTTATGTTTGGTTTTGTGTTTCTCCACTGTGTACACAAACCCAAACCAAAGAATTATTCCTTGACTCCACACCATCATAACTTGGGAATAAATATTTTAAAAATAATAATTAAGAATACTGTTACAATTTTTGTATGTTTCTAACATGAATGTAAGACATATAATAAATGTAATATAAGATATAATGTTATAGAATTTTTAAGGATATATCAATTTATCAAATTATTTTTTACATTACATATGATGTATAGCCAATGCATTTTTATGATATATAATTTTTTCATTTGTAAATATTATAATACAGTAAATATTACAAAAAAGAAAGAAAAAATTTACATATATTGCAGTGTTTACATTTTATAATTTCCACTTTATCGAGCAACACTTCATACCGTTCAGTGTGAAATACTGAACAGAGTAACTCAAAACCTCCCACGTTTGGATTCATTCCAAAATTCCTTGAGAACATCTTTTACTATTAATGAATTATTGGTTTTTCCACCCACCATTGACTGAATTAGAACTTGATGTGAAAGGAAAATTGGTGATGTAGTAGGAAAAAACAAACCCGGTAGTATTCTTAGCAAATTGCAACTTCAGAGGGAGCATTTTATACCATAATTTAATGTTGTAATCTTTTTTGAATTGGCAATGTGATTTATTACATGAACAAATTAATTTCTTAATTTGTTTTTATATATCTGCATAATTGTATAAATTGTTACAGATTACATAATTACAACATTTAAAATATAGTTAAACATGACAAGTAAGATATTATATGAATTTTAAGGTATTGCTGACAAAAGCAATTGCATTTTTGCATGCTTTCAGCCCTTTTTTTTGTTTCTTATGGTGGAATAAGCTTTCTTGCTTGGCCCTTAGTCCTAAATTGGCTATTGATTCAGAGGAATGGTGGGATGTTAAAGATTTATGAGCTTCACTCCTGTACTCACTGGAATTTTATCCAAAAAAATATAAAAGTTTCCCAGATGATTTAAGACCTTAATCAGACTACAAATCACGTGAAAACCTTGAATTTGAGCAAATGTAGAAGATAAAATAAATATTTTGTGTTAACTAGTATTGTGTAAATTGTTTTTATAAATTTCTTAGTGTTATTCTATTAATTGAGCATAATAAATTGGTAATATAATTTATTTTGTGTCTTATCGTGTGTTATGATTTGTTCTAGGTTCTTTCACTTGGTGCTGATGTCCTCCCAGAATACAAACTCCAGTCACCAAGGATACACAAGTGGACTGTACTTCACTATAGTCCATTCAAAGCTGTCTGGGACTGGATTATTCTTTTACTTGTCATGTACACAGCAATATTTACACCTTACACGGCAGCCTTCCTTCTTAACGAGCCTGACTATACAACTTCAAGAAAAACAAAAAAGTATGGAGATGACCCCCTCGTTATAGTAGATCTCATCGGTACGTTTTATTCAACGTTATTGTAGCTTAGTTAACTTTTCAAAAACAAATTTTGAAAATATTTTTGACAATGAAATCTGTTTTTTAGTGGACGTGACTTTTATAGTAGATATTCTTATAAACTTTAGGACAACTTATGTAAATAAAAATGATGAAGTTGTCTCACATCCAGGAAAAATAGCAGTTCACTATTTAAGAGGATGGTTCCTTATTGATTTAGTAGCTGCTATTCCATTTGACCTTCTATTGTATGGATCGGACACAGATGAGGTGAGAAAAAGTCTAATTTTAAATTAGTTTATCTGTTTTATCATTTGTCCTAACCCTTTATAAAAGAAAATAAATTTGTAGAAAGTTTGTTCAAACTGTGAGATAAAATACGAGAAAGATTTGTTGTGTTTCTTTTAGTAAATTATACAACTCTAAAAATCTGCGTTTTACAATCCATCGATAGTATGACAAATGCAAAGATTTCAAAAGTGTTTTTCGAAATGTGGAGTCAAAATCCAATTTTTTCTTCTTTTTTTTTTATAATGCTCTAATAGAAGATGAATGTACAGTTATATAAATGTTAGTTCGTAAATTTTAGTTTTCGTAGTAAAATCGTTGTGTAGGAAAACACTAACATGCACGCATGGTAAATTTGTTGACAAATTACACAAACACACAAAACATGAAATTAATTAGCTCAGAGGCAAGAAAATCAAATCAATCATTTTATTTAATTTGGTATATTGTTTATTTCATTAAGAAAAACACTTTTACATTTAATTATCTATGAGTAAAGTGGTTTTAGAATTCAAATCATATGAATTTCTAATGCAAAGGCTGATATTTTGAACTAATTGTAAATTATTAGTAGTGGTGATGAGTTGTTAGGACAATTAAATGTTTTGTTCAATTTGTATTTATTCTAATAAATTACTGTTATTTTATAAATTACAGTTTATCTGTTTCTGACTATTCTATTATAATGTCATTCTAAGACTTCTTTGACCTTAGATTGAACTCAATTTAAAATTTAAAAAATACTGAAAAATTGCAAGCACATATTTTAAACATGTTAAACACAGTTTTTTTTTATTATCTTCTAACAATTGTCCTTTTTGATGCAATTTTAACCATGAAAAAATTTATTAAATAATGTGTTGTTTGATCACACCTAATCATCCTGTCTGCCTATTCTTGTAGGTTTTGCCTGTTAGATGGATTTTGCATTTAGCATCTTCTGTTTTAAAAAAGAAAAAATACTTTACAAAGTAATGTCACAAATAGTGGGGCTATAAAAAAATAAAATGACATTTTAATTACTATGATGACGATAGACTATGGTCAGTTGAAGCTAATGAAACTATAAATAACAATCATTATAGTATTGAAGGACAGTTTGGGTATAGAGAATAACTATGGAAGAAATTTACTGTAGCAAATCGAATTAATCAGTTTAATTATTGTACATGCATGGGGTACCTAATTTGAGCTACAAGTCATTTCCTCAGAGACGTTTCCACGATCACTATTATGAAATAATGCTCATCTTGGTTTTGGATTTGTTCAACATGGTAGAATAAAATTAAATTATTAAATTATTAAATTAAAATNATTAATTTAAAATTAAAACCAAATTAATTTAAAAATTAAACCTTTTACACAATTTTTTTTAAATACACTGTTGATGACTGAATTTTTTATATTATTCCATGAATATAAAGCTCTATAAAATATTGAAATAAGCAACTTTAACTTTTACTGATAGTAAATGCCTTCCTTTAAACATTGTGTGAACAAATTAATCAGCAGAAAATAATATATCATTAAAATTTATTCAAAGTGTCATGTAATTCATGAGGATAAACTGGCACAATATTATATGCTACATCATTTAAATACATTTTAGCTCTTATATGAAAAATTTTTGCATCATCGTTCTAAATAAAATGAAATTAAAAAGCATCTATTGGCAGATATTGCAAGATTTCCTATTGTACAGAAAATTTTAATTTCTGCAAATGTGTAGAAAAATACAAAACAACAAAGATATTTATGTGAGAACTATAATAATTTTATTAATTGGATATAACACTTCTTACCTTATCAAATTTTTAAACTGAGATAATGTTTTGTTTAATTAATTATTTATTTATTCTATACATGATGACATTAACAGATCATTATCCCAGTATAATTAATTTTTAGGTCTGCTTTATTTGACCAATATCTTTTTTCCATTGTTTTCATTTTATTAACATAAAATCTACCTCACTATTGACAGACCAGATTTAGTTCTGAACTTTAAAACAAGATTTCCATTTTAAATTTATGTACATTGATTTAAAAATTGATACATTCCTAATTCTAGCAGAACATTAATTAAGAGTTTACATATTGATTTCCTTCATATATAAATATTTTAAAATAAATAAGTATAGAATTTTTTTTACTTAATAAACAATTCAAAAATTGGTTTGAACTCCAAAAAGGTCCGATGACGGGGTTGGCAGCTGATCCCTAAAATACCAAGCTAGAAATAAAAAAATCAATAGGTTGGATGGAGTAGTTCCATAAACTACATTTAAAAATACCAAAATTTGGTAGGCTAGCCATTAAATAAGTTCTCAAAGTAAAGATTCAAAATGTTAAAACATAATAGTTCAGTAAAAATAAAATAGCCATTACATTCAGAATTAAATGTTTCCATTGTTGATACATTAAGGAAAAAATAACCATTTTTAAACACTGCATGTTGCAAAATATGCAAAACCACTATCACAAAGTAAACATTTATTTAAAATTCAATAATTTCATAAAATATGCATTCTCTATAAAGACCGTTTTTTGTTTGTTTTTCCACACATTAAAAAACTTTGTTTCTCTTTATTATGTGAATACATATTTTTATAATTTATTGATCATTCTTTAATCCCCTATGACAACATTTGATTATTACCTTTACGATCTTTGCATCCTTATTAACTTATATTCTGTTAATTTGTAAAACTGTAATTTATTCCAAATTCAAATTTTAAAAAGGTTTTTAATTAATCCGATTTTCTATTAATGAAAACAAAAATTAAGGTAATATAAGAAAATGCACAAACTTTTTTTATAAATATTACTATGTTGTTATTTTTTCTGAATATTATTCTGCAGTGATAAGATGCATGATGGAGCTATGTTAATTTCAACTGTTTTGTAGGAAACTGTTTTCGTGAAATAAATATATAAAACTATGAGAAAATTGTACAAAGCACTTTGCTTGTAGGACGAAATGTGAATCTAGATAAGCTTTTAGTTATAGTTTTCAAATGTCAAGGCGTAAAATAAAATGAACTATATATGTACAGTTAACGAAAGGACAAGTATTCATTATTTTTTATCACTTCTGCTAAATACTCCTGCATGTTAAACATCGGTGTAAATATTTATTACGATAAACTCTTTCATGGAAATTCAAAATATGATTCAAATATGATCAAGTGCAGTTTATCTAGATTACTACATAAAATATAAATAAAGTCATACAGTATGGTTGTAAATAGCTGACAATGTTGAAAATGGCGTAGCTTCATTAATGCTGCCGGCTGAGCCTTATGTGTCAAATTTGTTTCACATATTTTCAGTTGGGCTTGGATGCCGATGAGGTCAGTTGAAAGTAGTGACAGGTTCTTTATTTTAATCGCTTTTAAAACAAGAATTGATAAATACACGCTGTCGCTTGGCACTAGTTTTTAATAGATTCCCTGTAAATTCCTTTTTTTTTGCATTATAAAATAATCTAGTTTATGAAACGCATAATTTGGTTACTTCACATTCTGTATCATGTACGTTATATTATAATTTGTTTATTTAATTTACACTATAACTGCATCTTTTAAATAAAATAATATTGGAAATAGTCACATATAATGGTTAAATAAATTTGCACATCAAACAAACAAGTTTACCAATTCTAGATAGCATGAATAAAGTAAAATTCAATAATTAAAATAAATAACCACAGTTCTAAATGGCATCCCCCTTGTTCAATAATTTCATAAACATTTATTATAATGGCAAATGTGCTAGTGTTTTACATTTGTGACATATGTTTTACATTCTTAAGATTTCTATTTGACCCTAATGTAATTAAATAGAAGCTTATGGATGAAATAAAACAGTATACAATTTATTAAAGTAGCCATTTTTTGACCATGGAACATTTGCTCGGAGATCACACGAATGCATAAAAGTTTGCTTGACTTCATATGATACAACAAAACTAAAGGCGTGCTAGTTTGAAACATTCTCACTATGGCAAATATTTAAAATGTTGGCAAAGAACAAATAAGAGAAATAAAATAGATTGTCAGTTGTAAATACAAAAATTAACCTTCCTGTCAACCGTTTAAAATTAAACAATTCATATGTATTTAAATACACGTATATATGATTTTTATTGTATATTCCTATTTTTCTACTTAATTATTTAATTGGACATAAAATGTATCATGTTTGTAAATATACATAAAAAATTATATTTGTATACAGGGTTGTGAATAATGACTATTCTAAAAAAAAGGTTTTACAAACATATAAAACAATTTATTTAAATATTTTTATAGATTAACAAAAAGAAATTTTCTTTCATTATATATAATGATTTAGTGTAAGCTTAATTTTTAATACAATAGTTTATTGTTTAAGAGTGTTGCGCAACATAGCTAGTTAAAAACTTGTTTGTACTTATCATATTTAAAAATAAATGAACACTAGCTATATTGCATAAACACTATCAATATAGGTAAAGTCCACAAAAATTGATTCAATGATTAAAGTACCATATATCAATTGTAAAATATGTTTAGTTTGTTTAAATTTGCCATATGTCATAACTGTATACTGCTAAGCTCTGGAATCAATTCAGGATTAGAACTTTTTTCTTTTTACATGCTGAATTTTTCTCTAAATCTAAGAGTAAAAAATGTATACAAATATAATAAGGACGAATATTTGTATATACATTTTTAATTAACCACATAATTGTTTGCACCTATTCAAAACCATTTAGTTTGTGGTATTTTGCATGGATTGCTTTCTAGCTTATGCAGTTTATGTGATTTTTTTCTCCCCAAAATGTCATTCTTTTTATTATTTCATTTCAATTACATACTCATGCTAGCTATACAGTTGTTAGGTGCCCTGCTTCCTTTTAACAAAATGATCGTGCAACTCATGCTAAACTAAACTTTTCTACTAGCCTACAAGTTCATGGCCAATATATTATTTATTAATTTTAAGTATACAACGGTTGCACTTTTTTTTAAAGGTTAAATTCGACCTTTAGACTAAAGTCATAGAATGGTTTTAGCCTGTGTACATAATTAGATATGTAGTTGGTAGTACAAATTAGAAATGAAAAATGCTGTTTGGGTAAATCATAATATACATTATGTAAAATATAGAGTTTTAAGTGCAGATTTGGCAGTTAGAGCGTGTGTTTTGTTGGAGATATTACTTGGACAAGGTCATAAGTGCATGGTTAATTTAGTGTTGTAAATTTAGATAGCATGAGTGAGATAGATATATTAATGTTCAGAGTGAATTAATGACAAATTACATTTTTTATTATATGGTGTAATAATTATGTGGTTTTTGCTTAACAAAATTTAACTTTAACTGACAAGAGGAGAAAATTAAATCTATTTTTATCAAGGACAGCCTATTCAAAAATACATCTTTGTATATTTATCGGCATTTCATCTTAAAAGTTTAAGACACTTTTTGTAAATGCAAACTGCTTTTTCTTTTCTATTTAAAAATTGATAACACTAGCCTCGATTCCACTCAGCATTTTTGCCTTGAGCACTTATTATTATAGATATTAAACTAATACTAATTGGGCGATAATTTATTTTTCAGACAACTACTTTAATGGGCCTATTGAAAACAGCAAGACTGTTAAGATTAGTAAGAGTGGCTAGAAAAATAGATAGGTATTCAGAATATGGAGCCGCTGTACTTTTGTTACTTATGGCTACATTCGCACTTATTGCTCACTGGCTTGCCTGCATTTGGTAAGTCTTAGAAAAACTGTGAATATTAGTAAATTAAGTCAATTATAATTTTCCACCTGATTATATTTAAAAATTACAAAATTATCCTTTTATTTTGAAATAGGTATTTTATTGGAAATGCTGAAAGACCACATTTAGAAAGTAAAGTTGGTTGGTTAGATGCATTGGCTAATGATACGCATCAGTTTTATCATAACAATACGGGAGGGCCTTCTATAAAAGTAAACAATTTTTGTATTAGCTGAATAAAATATTTTCTTTTTACTTAAAATAAAAAAATTTCAGTCGAGATACATCACAGCTCTCTATTTTACATTCAGCTCTCTAACGTCGGTTGGGTTTGGTAATGTAGCGCCGAACACAGATGCTGAAAAAATATTCACAATTTGTGTTATGCTGGTTGGATGTAAGTAAACAAAATTCAAAACTGTATACTTTTCACCCTTAGCATAATAAATATATAATAACTATTTCAGCTTTGATGTATGCCAGTATCTTCGGTAATGTATCAGCGATTATTCAAAGACTGTATTCTGGCACAGCTCGATATCATACACAGATGTTGAGGGTGAGGGAATTCATTCGATTTCATCAAATACCTAATCCACTGAGACAGCGATTAGAGGAGTACTTTCAGGTAATGTTCTATTATTATTATACATGCCTATTATTATTATTGTTATTTATTTACATGTGTAGCTAAATGTCACTATACATTAATGTGTTATTTAAATTTAAAATATCTACCTATAGGTATATGTATATTTTTTGTTTAAATATAGATACCTCTTGAAATAGAACGCTAGAGATAGAATAAGTTAGATATAGGCATTTTTCAATCAATATAGAAATTGTAAAAAAATACACATTTCTAATCCTACAGTTAACAAATTGTTCATTACAGACAAAAAAACCTATTTGATACAATATTCTGAGTAGGGGACCTTGCCTAATGGTCAGTGTGATAGACTCTCGGCTCGTAGACCCCACTGTCGTTGGTTCAATTCCAACATCGCCATACGGTTTTCATGCAACCCCCCTGAACTATATATGATGAAATAATCTACTGAATAATACTCTGACTAATATGTAAGCTCATAAGGCCATTAAAAATGTATATAAATTATGAGTACCTTTTTTTCTTAGTTTAATACATACATAATTATTATTACCGTTGAATTATACAATCCAATAACTGTTAAAATTTTAAATATATGAAAATGTAATCAGTTGATGTTCTGTTAAACAACTGTCTGACTTTCATCACCATTTCTTTATTTTTGTTGCTATATTGGTAATGTGTAGTCCTCCAAAGCAATATCTACAATATGTCTCTACTCTTAGAAATGTTTTCAACAAGAAGTCCAATGTTATGCGGTGCCCTGATACACATACAATAATGTGTCACAACATTATGCTACATTGTACTTCTAGACCCACTTTTACTCTTAAAGAATATTCTTTCTTCTAAAACAATTTAAAAATTTTATTGAAAATTGACATTAATATAATTGATTTGTGATAGGTAAAGACCAGATTTTAGTGCAGAATAAATCTTCAAAATGCTCAATAAAAACCACAAAATCTTTAAAAACGTGCAATAAAACCCTTAAAACATGCATAAAAAGTAGTAAAGGTGAAAATTCTTATTTAACATAGTAAAAAATTTTGTTTACATGATAAAATTAATTTTTGTCTTCAACATAGTGATTGTTTATTCTGTAATCAATACATTATGCAGTTCTACTACTATACTAAATTAATATATTTCTATACTAAATTAAATATACAGCAAGAGAATGACAATAAATTCAGTTTATTTATAACCTATGCATAAAAGAACAAATATGGAATAAATAACTTAAGATATACCTCAATCAAATGAAAGTATTCAAAAAAATTAAAAGCAATAAAGCATAGCAGGGGGCGTCGGTGGCTGCAAGGTTTAGTCTTTGACATGGTGCTCATCACTGAAAGGTAAAGGTCCCGGGTTCGAATCCAGCAGCCCTGCATTCGAACCTGACTTACTTACAAATGGGCTTTTTTTCAAAAACACCGGCACCCTGAGGGTTTATATGACCTCTGCTTTTGCAAACCCTCATAAAAACAAAAACAAAAAAATAAAAAAATAAAGCACAGCAAACTAATTTATTTGTAAGGTTATACCTCCTGTCATTCAGAGTGTATTTCAAACCAGAAAAACTATTTAGCCATCAGTTCTGTACCCACCACTTTTGAACTATTTTTTATTTTACCTTTTTTAAATATTTTTTATATGGCCCTACTCTGCTCTCATATCAACGAAATACTGAGAAATGAGAATAAGAAAATGAGAAACAAGAAACGTGCAACTGGCTGAAAACAGCAAATTTCAAAAATAAAACAATTTCTTGAAAAATTCTAGACATTGAAAGTGGATACTTTAACAAAACTCATTTGAAAACATTTTCATCTCAATTCATTTAATAAACACTGTTAACCCATTAAAATTACGTATTTAGACGTTGTTTTAAACATAAAAAAAATAAACATAAAAAAATTGGGAAAATGCAATTTTGTGCAGTAAAAACATGCAATTTCATGCAAAATAAGATTTGTATCGAAAGAGCATCCTTTCTGTCGGAATTTCTGGAATTTCTGTTGGGGTTTCATTACAATCAAATTTAGGAAAAAAGAAAAGATACAATTGCACAAGAATACTGTCTTTAGTGATAGGTCAGTAGATAATTTTTAAATAATAGTCATTAATTACAACATTAGTACCACATGAATTATGGATTGTATTAAAAACATTTTATACTTTTTTTTATAGTTTCATTTTTTGTTGGAATACCACAAAAATATTTTGGTGCATTGATATTTGATATTGTAAATTACAATAGTAGATAGTAACATATATTAGATATATATTATATATTTAATCAATAATAGATATAATAAGTACATCTAGGTTATAGAGAAGTCTCTAGGAAATATCTGTGCTAGTTTGACATGTAGAATACTATAGAAACTTTGTGTATTGTGTATAGCATGCATGGACTTACACTAATGGAATAGATATGAACAGTGTGCTGAAAGGATTTCCAGAGTGCCTTCAAGCTGACATTTGTTTACACTTAAACAGAAACTTATTGGAATCGTGTACGGCATTTGACGGCGCTTCTCCAGGTTGCTTGAGGTCAGTGGGTTTTGTGATTATGTTTATAAATGTTTCTTAACTTTGACATGATGTGATATTGCTCTGATGATACGCTTAATCTATTGAAGTCATTTCACTGTCATTTTTTTAGGGCTTTATCGCTTAAATTCAAAACAACTCATGCTCCACCAGGAGATACATTAGTACACAAAGGAGATGTGTTAACATCTTTGTATTTTATTTCAAGAGGATCAATTGAGATCCTGCGAGACGAAATAGTAATGGCTATTTTAAGTAAGTGTAGTTTTATTTTTTTTATTTTTTTTTTTTTCAGATGAAAAATGTATATATTCTTATTTTTTGTTTTAAGGTAAAGATGATATTTTTGGAGAGAATCCATGTGGACATACTACTATAGGCAAATCAAAGTGTAACGTTAGAGCTCTCACATATTGTGATCTCCACAAAATCCATCGGGATGATTTGTTGGATGTTTTAGAACTCTATCCAGAGTTTTACCATACTTTCACATCAAATTTGGAGATCACATTTTATTTGAGAGATGTGCGTTTTAAACATATTTTGAATTGGTTAAAATGGTAATTTATTGAACTTTTTTTTAACATGCAGGAAGAGCAAGCTGGTGTGGATCCTTGGGCTAGCCGGCAAACAAGAAAAGTAACATCAAGGACAAATTCTCAAGATCTTGGTACGGGAGAAGTTGGCGGTGGTGGTAATTTTGACATGGATTTTAGAAGAAATTACTACAGGCCTTCTTTAAGAACCAGTGTCGAGAGAGGTCCTTCTATGGAAGAAAATGGAGATTTACAGTAATTATATTTTTTTATAATATTTATTTATAGGTTCCATTAATATAAAAAATACAAACAATATTTTTTTTTTACACTCATACACATTGCAATATTAAATTAATTATTATTTTAAATAAGATTTATAAGCAATTATAGAAAGATAATTGATACAATCATTAATGAGAAGTATTATATATTTTAATGTCAATATTATTGTGTGAAAAATTAATAAAATTAACATTAATTTTAATCATAGGCAATAGTTATTTACATTATGAAACAGCTCTAGTCTAAACCAATCCTTGGAGGAAAAAGGCTGTTTTATTGATAGACCTCTCATTTATGTTCCTTTTTATGTAATTGAAAATGAATATGAAGGGTTGAAGAGCCAATGACAGATTGTTGAGTACCTCATTGACACTCAATTAGATTAATTGTACATCGTACATCATAATCAGAAGGCCTCATTGTGATGGTTAAGTTGATGGTTTGGACGTTCCTCTTTTTTGTATTTAAGAATATGTGAGTGTTCCTATGTTTAAAAACTGCATGTGTCGTGGGCTGAAATTACCTAGCTGTTACCTGAAGTTACCTAGCCCCTGGAGCCTATGTTTAGCGGTGGAACAGATAAAACAGACTGCCAAAATACTGAGGGTGATTCTGCTGAGAAGTCATAAGCTCCATTCTATACATGTGTTTATGTATCTATGTGCAGAGTTGAATTTGTATTAATCAACCTAGACCATCAGAAGCATGTGAAGAATTACTTCTGATTACTGATTTATGTAAGTTCAAATCAACATATGTCCGATACACATATGCATATGTACAGAGTTGAGACTGTCATAATTGGAAAAAGGGACTCAGTTATTTGCTACCATACTCAAGCACAATTCTCTTATCGGATGAAATTCCTACATGCTCTCTATATGAGTGCTAAAGAATTGGACCCTTCAGTTAGATGGGACATATCTTTATTTCTAGACACATACTTTGGCCTAAAAGTCCGTGTGTCAATCTCACAGTTGACATTTTGGTACCCAGACAACAACCGCTGTTTTGCTGAGACGCTCCAGTTCACGGTATCACTTCAACAAGAGCACAACGAGAGGGCCTGTAGAGAACCTGTCTCAGACAGCAAAGAATTACTTATGTTGTAATAAAAAGTGTTTGTTTTTTACAGTTTTTTTACACATTGAAACACTTTTTAACTGAATTTGTTTCAATTAAATAAAACCTGGGGACCTTGGTTGCTGAGAGGTTAGGCCATCAGACTCTCACCTCATAGACCTCCATGGTCACGAGTTCGATAACTACCACCACTTCGATTTTTTGACTCCTCCTCCTACCCCAAAAATTTTAAATTCTATTCATCATACTCATGCTTGACAAATGTAGTATATGACTCCATTGGGAAAAGGCAAAACAAGGCCTTTTAGTTTATTCAATAAAGATTAAAGATAATTTTTTTTAAAGAAATGGACTAAGTTGTAATAAAAGTCTGTGCTTTCGAAAAATTCTTTTAAACATCTCTTCTTATAACTGCACTATTTGACCAAATGTAATCTAGTATGGATATCTTCAATTTGCTTTATGCTTGTGCTAGTAATTCGAGACCTTTCCTGAACTATAATGAGTTACAGAGGCCAAAACATGACACAGCCAGCATTTACTTCTTCGTAAGTCTCTAATTTTTGGTGTCACAAGAAGTAAGCCATGGATGTGAATAAGTGGTTATCAACCGGAGGTCAAGGCTTTATGAATGAGGGAAAAGTTTGAATTGCAGTTCATTAATTTTTGAAATGGTCTGGCATGGCCTTGTGTTTTGCTTCAGAAAAACGTTTTTGCAGTTTACTGGAGTTGATAAATCTTTATATAAGTCGGTAGAAAGATCATATAAGTCTTTATTGAATTAAATGTAGTTTCTATTGGCTGAAGTATAAAAGAAAACTCTTTGGATTTTATGTATAAAGAGTATTTTGACTAATTTTGATCATGTTTGAAGTATTTATTTATTTTAACAACTTCATATTTTATACTTTATTTATAATATGTTATTTGAACAAGTTTATTATTTGTAGTGAGAAGTGCCTTGGTCATGGTATTCTAGAGTTCTCGACAGAAAAGGCAGGACAAGATGTCACGCCTTTGAATTTACAATTTAATGAAAATGGTCATCGCTCAAATACCATCAGCTCAATTACTGGTAAAACATTTGATTTTATATTTATCATAAATTGATATTCACTGATAGTTCATACCCCTGAATTCTTCCTAAAACGGGTAACGTTACTAAAACACCCACTAATTATTTTCTTTTTTCTAATCAAAATTAATATAACGTTTATATAACTCTGTTTACTTAATGTTTATATACACATAATATACATTTAAGCTAAAATAATTCAATAATAAAACAACAGTAATCATTACATTGATTTTTCTATGACAAAACAATTCTCTTAATCTTATTATTTTTGGTTTTAAATAAGTACTGCATGCAGCCAATGGTCCTACCATTGTGCATGACGTATCTCTATTATTGAATGTTATTTCAGTTTATTTATAAATTAGTTACAATACAATCAGCAATGATATCAATATAAAGATAGAAACGCAAGTAATTCTTCTGTTTAATAATTTTTACTCCACTATTTAATTTGTTTAATACATAGATATCTAATAAGTAGATTTTTATCTTAAATCGATTTTTCTAAACCCTTTAATTCACTTATATCATATACAACTGTTGTTATTTATAATACATAAAATGTCATTCAACTTTTAAAAGCTAATTTGTCAGCAGAGATTGTTATTCCGTAAGTTACCATGAAGATAATATCAAAAATTATTTTGCAATTTAATTGATAATTTGAACAAAAACAATTATTATATTTGCTTTACAAACATTCATAACTAAATATCAATTCAGGTTGTTATTATATAATATCAAATAAGTCTATACTTTCAATTTAAATTTATTAAGAAATTAGCAACAAAAAAGGAAAATGGACATTTTGTGGAATTACCCTCTCTACTAAGTTCTTTGATACTTATTAAATTAAAATAAGCATTAAGCATGATGTAGTGTAGTATGTGTGTGTGCGTGTGTGTGTGTATCAGGCATGTTCAGCCAACTGAAGCGCAGCCTCACAGATCTGCGCTTGCATGGCCTCAACAGTAAACAACCACCGAAAGAAGACTCTTCTAACGGTATGTTGCATAAATGTTTTACTTGTCACATTATCTTTAGATTAGAGCATGTTTTTCTTATTTTTTTAATCCTAATCAACCTGTTTCTGGATTGCATGATTTACTTTTAAATGTTACAGTGAGTCGAAATTGTAGAATATAAATAAGATGTTTACATTAAAAACCACAAGAGTAACTGTGATTAACTGATTATAAAGTTTGTAACGTTGTAATTAGTGTTTTTATTATGTTTTTACACATAATTAATTTACTTATCACATTAAATTTGGGTAATAAATTGAGACTGTGAAATCACAAAATTTTACTTCTAAAAACAATAAATAAAAATTTCTCTATAATGTCCTTAATGTTGTTAAATTTTTTTTAATGTTAATTCAATTTTCTCATTCTGTGATTGATTTTATTTTATTTATTTTAATTTTATTTATTGTTTTAAACATTTATCTATTCTTAGTCATTGGTTGAAAGGGTTCCAGTATTCTATCTACTGAAGAAGGATAAAAAAACAGTTTTGAGAAAACATTTAACAAATGTTTAATCGTTTCTTCTTCTGATTACTCTGTTTACTCATTTGATTGGTTTAAGAAGTAAAAGTCTGGGAAAATAGATAACAAAATAAAATTAAATTAACTATTGGATATGCATAAAAGTTTTGCTTGTATTCTTGGAAATGAAAGACCAGTCTGCTTTTAAATTCATCATACAAATTTTTAAAAAATTTATAAAAACATATACCACCTTAGAAGGTTTTTCAATTAAAAAATTAAAACAAATTGATATATTAAAACTTAAAAATGTATTTTTGCATCTTAGAACATTTATTACATAACAAAGTTTTTACTAGCACAGGGTCACTCATTGGGTCTGTCTCCACTTGCAAGTTTTTTGAGTTATTCAAATGCATTTCGATATCACGTTATCTTCAGTGAGGAGCTCTGGAGAACTTTTCCTCACTGAAACTCAAAATACCTGCGACTGGAGACAGACCCAGTAAGTGACCCTGTGCCGGTTCAGCATAAGTTCACGGGCTTGCAGACCGAAACCCATCATCAACTCTAACAAAAAAGTTTGTTAAAACAAGTCCCCCCCCCCAAAAAAAAACTAAATTAGTAAATAACTATTTTTACTTTTTTAAACCAATTAACATTGATCATTTATGATTGTATGTAACAAAACGTGTGCACAAAGAAAAGAAAATTCCTTATTGTATAAATTATTCCAAGCATTACCCTTCAAAAATTGTATTATGAAATCAATGTGAAGTCAATTTTGAAAGAATTTGTATTACTTTTCAGCATTTTGAAATATTTTACTCAGATGATATGAAATATGTCATTTCAAAAACAATATTTTTAAATGTATAACCTGATATTTATATAAATTTACACTCAAAGACAAAACAAATTATCATTATATTAATTAGAACATACAGATTTTATTATAACCAAACTAAATGAGATCAGAAGTTCATGAGTTTTAATTAAAAAATATTCATTTATGGTGGTTTGAAATGAAATTAACCAAAACCCCGGAAAACTATTTAGTAATAAAATTTAATTAACAGTTTATTCCCTGTTATCATTCTTAACAATAAATGTTATTTAGAGCAAACCCACCAGTAATAAATTGTTAGGTAAATTTTAAACCATTTTAACTACATGATTTTCCAGTTTTTGATAGATTTTCTTTCAAACCATCATAATTTATTTTTACTAAAACTCTTTAATTTCTGTTCTCTTTTAATTTGGTTTATGTTCAAATAAATATGTTATCATTAAAATAATGATAAAAGTACATATAGTTTGAAGTAAACATCAAAATATGAGTGTCTGTTGTTTTTTTAAGTATATAATTGTGTGTGTGGGGGGGTTGATTTTATCTATAGCCTCAGGGAAGAAGTAGGTAAGCCGAGAATGCCTGCTTTATAGGAGAACTATTTGATGATTTACATAAGCTCAATTCTGCACACATATGTGCACACATACAGACCTGAACCTTTCATTTCTCACAGCCCATTGGTAATTCCAGCTTTTTCTGTAATTTACAATAAATCACTGGCAGCCCCCCTCCCGAGTTTGGCAATCCATGGACAGACCTTGGTCTAATCTGTCCTGTGACAACTTCTTTCATACTATCCTCAATTAATATGGCAGGATTTGAGCCCAGAATTGCTGTCATGGCAAATATGAGTTGGAGGCTCTTGGTCACTGTCGTCCAATTGTTTTATTGTATAAGTACTAACGGTAGTTAGTTTAAAATGTTTAGTAAATTAGTTTTTTAGTTTAAATTTTAGTAAATAGTTTTATGTCCCTAACATATGTTGAGAGTTGTTTGGTATGAATGTGTGGTGTAAGAGGGCCATTGGTATTGAATACCCCAAAGACCCTCAATTAAGTTATTATATAGGTGATAGAGGAATATGGAGTACCATGCCATCATAACTGAATGAATGGTATGTAAATAAGAAAGAATGTATTTTAGAGTGACTGAGAGTGTGAATGGTCTTGGAACCTGAGGCTTGGTTGGGGCTGAAATGACCTAGCTGTTAGCCACTGAAGTCCCACCAAGGTTTTTTTTTAATGAGGGTTCGCAACAGCAGAGGTCATATAAACCCTCAGGGTGCCAGTGTTTTTGAAAAAAATCCCATTTGTAAGTATGTCGGGTTTGAATGCAGAGCCACTGGATTCGAACGCGGGACCTTTACCTTACAGTGATGAGCGCCATGTCAACGCCTAAACCGTTATCGCCACCGATGCCCCCCACCAAGGTTTACAAATTGTGTTTGCCATGATAGCAGTTCTCGGTTCAAATCTTGGTACATTAATTGAGGATAGTATGAAAAAAGTATTTTCAAGTGGTTTGAACCCTCTCCACGAGTAGTTGGATACTACTAAGTCCTCCTGTATGACAGGCATTACTTTATAATAAAACAATCCTGTTTTCTCCAAGAATCAGAACAGAGGAACCAGATACATGCTGTCATAAGCACAATTCTCATATTGGATGGCATTCCTACGCGCTCTCTATATGAACCCAAGAAATTGAACCCTGCAATTGTGCCTTTGTTCAAAATTGGATTTTAATTTTTACAGTAGTAGTCGTTTGCATCTCTCTGGACTGTTGAACATTGATGTTCTAAAAAGAACCATTGAAAGGATGATCGTAGTTGATCGAGAGAGTGATTCACTCCTAAATCCACTGCATTGAAGCTTGATGATTCCTCTAGAGAATTGACGGTTGAGTCACTGTAGTTGGAGCTAAAGTTTGAAAGTTCGATCTTCCTGGTTCAAAACTTCAAATTCAGTAGATCGCTTTGAACCATGCTTATATAAGGAAATATGTTATCCATATAGTCTTTCTTTATAGCCTCATTTATGGGCCATCTAATTTCAAAGCAAACTGTTAATTTAGCCTCGGATATGGAAATTAACAGTATTAAATTCTTCATTTGCTTCTAAATTAGTTTTAAAAAATAGTTTTGGCTCATCTTTTGTATAACAGAGCAATTGAATTGGCATTCACAAAACATTCTCTGTAATTTGTTGTAATTCTCTGATTGATTTGTTCACTGGGCAATGCAAAATCAAATAAGTTATTTATTTTTTTATTTTTACAAGGTTTTTAGATCTTGAAGTTCTTACTAATTGCAACCAATCATCTAGACTATCTAGAGGATTTATTTTCAACCTTGTGATTTTTTTCTATTATGGCATGGTCACTGTTGTACTCCATGTGAGAAACTGCAGAGGTAAGATTATGTCATTAGATTGCAGTGACCAAAGGGTTTCTGTGTAATGTGACCCCAACAACTCAAAAGAATCGTCATTAGTGCAATATGAATTTATTATAAATGTAAGCAACCCTCTGTGTCAAAGAGGACACATATATAATCCAATACAAGATCAGAAAAGAGAAACTCAGAGTTGGTCTTTAAATTGGTACACTGAAGTTAATAAAAATGTCAGCAAGATTTGTGGCAAAGAGGCTAAAAATTACACAAAAATAGGATGGATTTAGGGAAGTCAACTTGACTATTACTGTCAACGTATTAAATTATCTTATTAAATTTAAATGTAGGTGAGTTCTTTTCATTTTTAGGCAAGTCGATTTGCCAAAAACAGTTCATCAACTGTTGTGAAAAATTGGATAAAAAGAATTGACTGAAATTTCCAAAAATTTGATCTCCAAAAATGCATAAACCAAATATGCACTCTGGTTTTGGTTGACAGTTACTTCACCCATAAAAAGATATTACTTTTCTCAGTGGGAAAACTAAATTATTTTGTTTTCAGAATCAATTAACTTACCTATTTGGTCCCTGTGGCTAGATATGTGATATATGTATTAGGCATGTGGACTACACATCCACGTTTTCTCGTAGTTTTCATTAAAGTTTTGTTCAAGTTTAACCAAATGCAGTTCGTATAATATTAGTTTGAATGCTAGTGAGATGAGTGAAAAATTTTGTAAAGTACCTTTTAAAAATTATACACCTCAATAGATAAATTTTAACCCTAATAGCCCACAAACCAAATAAGGTTTTTAATTCCAATTGATGTCAATTATTTTATAACTATCTAATAGGCTTAGAATAGATGTCAATGTCAAACAAGCTATGGTGTGATAACCTAAGATATTGCAAAAAATTAAATTATTTTCTATTAATTAGCAATTATTCAAATGCAAAAAATACCAACTTTCTCTTTCTACTTAATACATTATAATTTGTGTTGGTAGTTTTATTTATTTGTAGCAGCAACAAAATTGCTTTTATGCATAAATGCAGACTTTTATATTTGACAAAGAACATAAGCTGGGCCAACATTCAAAATTATTTAACATAATAATGAGAAAAGTTATGTATGATTTATTAAAAATTATTTTTGTTACTTAATTTTGCAGTAGAAACAGCTAGGCAATAAATGTTTATATATGTGTGTAATTTGCAGTAGTATTTACAAGCAAATTTAAAGTTTAAGGCTCTAAGTGTTGTTTCACCAAAAGGAATGCCTGTGCCGTTCTATATGGATTGTCCAAATTGTTGTTGCTTAGATTTAAAATTAGTCATTGAAGTATATTCTAGTTTGAATGCATACATGAATGTAGATCACCTATAAGCTTTTTGATGGTTGGGTGTAGGGCGATCAGCAGATACAAGAATGAAACATTCGGCAAGCTCACAAAATGTGAGACGTCAAGATATCAGGGTTGCTTCGGCTACTACTTCAGACTCTTCAAGAGAAACACAACCTCTTCTTGACCACCAAGCTCCAAGTAAGTATAGAACATTAAAAAATAGTTAGAATTATAACTTTCAACTTTAAGTTGGAAGATAGTTTTTAATTATTTTTAATATTTCAAGCAAAACTAACTTTCTAATTCTCACATTAGAAAAATTATTTAAAAATCAACTTAAGTCCGATAAATAAGATGTTTTCTGGATAGAAAAAAATTAAATTATGATACATAAATAATTAAATGTAAAATGGGCTTTGATGGGGAATCCCTCCCTTGAACTAAAATAATTATTAATTGATCATTTAAATGTTTGGGCATGGTGAACTTGGTACCTTTCAGTTAAATCAATGATTTCTATATAGAATTGGAAGAAAACTTTTAACTTTATTTTTTTAAATAATAAAATGATCATCTTCAACAAGAAATTTTAATATAAAATTTGATCAAGAAGCAAAAAGCCTCTGAACAAATTGCACAACAAATACAGATTTGAGAAAAATTAAAGCATTTATTTTTTACAGTAATTATATTATACTCATCTTTCTCTCACCATTAAATTTTTTATACTTTCAAATTGAGCAAGACCCAATGTCATAGAATATAATATCTTCATATTTTCATTATAAGGTTTTACTTATTTATTGGACAATGTACTTTTATTGGAATGTTTTGAAAATTATAGCTTTAACTCATATTTACAATTATAGGCATAATGTAGATGAAAAATTTAGAACAAAGTAGAACTCGATAAGTTTCATATTTTTGGTCATAGATAAGCATGTCATTAAATCACAGTTCTTGCGGTGTAGAAGAAAAACTTTTTTTAATCTAGTTGTGTTGTTCAGATTAAATGTAGAGTTAAACAAGTCTTCTTCCAACACTAAATATTTCAGTGTATTACATCAATATACAGATAAATTCAATATACAATGAACAATATACATATGATTAACATTAAAACATGCTTTACTTAAAATTACTCACATTAGACTAAAATTCAGGGTTAGCACGTAGTTATTATTATTTAAAGATATATATTAGGGATGTCGGTCGCTGGAACGGCTTAGGCATAAAACACGGCGCTCATCACAAAGGTAAAGGTCCCGGGTTCAAATCCTACAGCCCTGCATTCGAACCCGGCATACGTTCAAATGGGATTTTTTTTCCAAATCATCTGCACCCCGAGGTGTTTAACCTCGTAGTTGAAATACACATTACAAAAAAAATTCAGCCTTTCATAGACTAAACCCACACGACCTGGCATTCATGCGCAAGTGTATAACTGTTCCGCCGTGCGATATAAATAGAGATATATTGGGTTGGTGCGAAATGAATGCAGATTTTGAAAATTTGTCTTATTTTCGCAGGTGCTTGACATGTAAACAAAGTTAAATCCTCCAATTTGAATTATGGATTATAATAAATGCTTTTAACTATTATCTTTTATACAAAACAATTTAGTTTATGTTGAATTTTATAAGAGAGATTTGAAAAAATTAAATATGTCCAAACTAGATTTTTGTAAAATTTATTTGTACGAATTTAAACATGGATAAAGTGCAACCCAAACTGAGCAAAACATCAAGAAAGTTTGGAGGGAAGCAATTTGCAAATGCATGATTCAGCGATGGTTTCAGAGATTTCGATCTCGAAGAAGAGAAGGCCGCGGTAGGCCTTCCGTTGTGGACAAAGACCATCTCAAATCATCAGTTGAAGAAAATTCACATAAGAAAACACGAGAAATTGCAGAAGAGCTTAGAGTTGACCACGTTGTTCCATCTGGAGCAAATTGGTAAAGTAAAGAAGCTCAACAATTAATTACTGCACCCAAAGAAATCAACGCTTTGAAATTTGCATATCTTTTCTGTTGCGCCACCAAAATGATCATTTCTCAATCAAATCATCACATATGATGAGAAATGGATTCTGTATGATAACAGGAGGAATACAGGTCAGTGGGTGGACAAGGATGAAGCACCAAAGCACTCCCTGAAACCAAATCTGCAGTTATTGTGACTGTTTGATGGTGTACTGCTGGGGCTGTTCACTATAATTTCCTGAATTGTGGTGAAACTGTCTCTGCAGAAAAATATTGCCAAGAAATTGATAAAATGCCAATGGAAACTCCAACGTATTTGACCATCATTGGTAAACAGTTAGAGGCCGTTCTTTCTCCAACCCTGCAGAACCTTAAAGATTAGGACATGAAACCTTAAACACCCTCCACATTCACCCAACCTCTCGCCTACACACGTTCACTATTTTAGGCATTTTGATCATTGTTTAAGGATAAAATTTTTAGAGAACGCGGTAAGCCAAAATCGCTTTCCAAGACATTATTGTGTGTCAAAATAAAGATTTTTATAACAGCAGAATAAAAGCATTTAATTCTTATTGGCAAAGATGTATAGTTAGTGATGGAACATATTTTGAATAAATGATTATTCAGAAATTGTGAGATGCGGTCTGGTGTGATGTAGGTTTCAGAAAAACATTTTCTTTGTCATGCCAACGTTTCAATTTTTATTGAGATCATCTTCAGGGCCTGGGATTTACAAACATTGTTTAAATTTAATAAATACATGTAGGATGTGGAAAAAAGTGAATTTATACAATGAAAAAAAATTGTTATGTTCGATCAAAGTATTTCTACTCAATAAAGATTGAAACGTTAGAATGATAAAGAAAATGTTTTTCTGAAACCTACATCACACCAGACCGCATCTCACAATTTCTGAATAATCATTGACTGATGGTCACTAATCACCACACATTTTGAATATAGTTTCTTTGTTTTATAAAAATTTAAAAAAATTTTGACTTCTTTTTCAAAATCTGCATTACTCTTGCACCAGCCCAATATGTATCTGTTTGCAAAATAGCCCCCTGATGTCTAACACAATTTTCCTCAAGTAAAATTCTGATCAAGAAATAAAAGTGTAAATCGGTGCAGAAAATTATATGTATTTATCTATATATGTATTTAGTAACATAATAGACATAGTTGTAATTATTTAAAGATATAAATGAAGGGCATCGGTGGCCACAAATTTAGGCATTGACATGGCGCTCATCTCTGGAAGGTAAAAGTCCCATGTTTGAATCCAACAGCTCTGCATTTGAACCTGACATGCTTAAAAATGAGATTTTTTTCAAAAACACTGGCACCCCGAGGGTTGATATAATCTCTGCTGTCACGAACCCTCGTTACAAAAAAATAACAATAATTATATTTAAATATTTTTAATATATATAATAAATATTTATAATATTTTTTTCTTTAAATCACTGGCACCTTAAGGGTTCGTACAACTCTCATTGCTGAAATGCTCTTGTTTAAAAAATAAATAAAACAAAAATAAATAAATAAAGATATGAACGTAAGTTTTACTAAGTCTAGAGAAAAAATTACTATAGAAGTAATAATCAGCGCAATTCATGTGTCAGTTACAACAAGTATAAAATTGAAAAATTTGAATGCCCAAAGTTTGCTATTTTCATGTTGTATGTTATCATTAAACAATAAAAATTTCTTTGATCTTTTTTATTTATTTATTTATTTTTAAATTTAGTACTCATCAAAAAGGTACGTTAAATTTCAAAATCATTTCGGGGGAATACAAAATTAAATCCTCAATTTTGGACAAACATTTTTACTGAATTTTAAAAGAAACTTTAATAGTTTCAGAAGGATTACCTACAGGGACTGAAACTCTGGATGAGTGCCATCTGAGCAGTACCTCACATTATACAACACCTGGTTCAGCCAGTCCCTTACATTCCAATGCCCTCCTCAAAGCCCATCAACAAGGTTCGCCTTACAATTGGTGTCTCGTTTTAATTAATTTAGTATATTTATCACTAAGACTTTATTGCAGGGCCTACTTCTGTGATAACATACCCCTCAACCCACATTGAACATAAATGTTCGCACTGTGGGATTTCAAAGGCTCGTGTGGATAGTGATATTCATTTTAGGATAGATAAGATAAGCAGGTATTTATTTTTTTAATATAATTCCTGAATTAAAAAAAAATATATTCATTATATTTTGAAAACTTGGCTATTTCAGACAATTAGATGCACTAGAAAATTCAGTTTCAAGTGATGTTAGGCTCATTCTCTCCATTCTGAGACATCAGGGAAGTGGAAAAAGTGGAGAACCACTGATAGAACAAAAAGAGGTAGAACATTCTATTAAAAGTGTTAAATTTATTAGGTCTAATTGCAATTTGTTATCTTGCAGCAGCAGCCTTGGACCGAGTCCAAACCGCGACCTTCACCTGTAAGACGAAGTTCAAGTGTTCCCCAGAATGATTCAGTACCACAAGCTCAAACAAGGTAAATAATAAATATAACAAAATCAATTCTATTTACAAAATGTTTGGAATATTTTTTCAGAAACCAAGACATTGCTCGACTACCCTATCCGACACTACAACCTGGTATCATTGTACCTCGAAGAAGTCAGTCTCAGCCTGTGGACTTATCTCATGTATGTTGCATCAAATATTATTAATGTTAAATTCATAATATTGATTGTTATATATCAAGTCAATTCAATATATATTAACAACACTCATGATAATGTTTCCAGCCCCAGATCTTTCAGCAAAGACATAATGATGAAGCTATCATATCACCTACTTATACAGATAGGAGGTTTGTTACTATTTCATCTTTATGTCACTTTTTGATAAATTTTAGTTTGCATTGATCAAGTTTAATTTCACAATAAAATCACTTGCAAATTTATTATAGGTTTTATTACTTTATATCATTTTATACATTTTTCAAGTTGTGAGTTGAACATAAATAATTAACAATTCATATGCAATTTGATCCTTACCAATCATCTTGGTCGGTTTGTTCTGATCAACAAGCCAGGATAGGCAAACCACGATGATAAATAAGGATCAAATTACAAGTTCATCATCCTCAGACGACAGGACGAACTTCATGTATGCTTATTTTGTTATAACAATAGCATACATGTTTTGAATTAAATTAAATGGTGGATAAACACTAATTTATACAAGCTGAAATCTGCACACATATTTACTTTGTTTATGTAAACCCAGAGTTGAGCCTATTACTTCTTACAGCCCGCAGGCAATTCAAACTTTTGTGTAATTTACAATGAGTGACTGGATGGCCTTGAGAATCACCTACCCCTGCTGTTGGCAGTCCGGAGTCGGACCTCGGTTGTAAATAGCTAGGTCATTTCAGTCCCCCCCCCCGTTCCTCAATCCAAACCCATTCCCACTCTCACTCAGTCTTAAATTCTTTCTATTTACTTATCATTCACTTAGTTAGGAATAATACTTGATATTCTTCCAACACCCTTTGTACAGGGTGGGCCCAAACAAAACAAAGATAGATTGAGTTTATAGGAAATTTCACATGGAAAAAAAGTTCCTATAAACATAGTTCCTCAACAAAGCTTATATGAGTAAATGCAAAAACATCTAAAAACTGGGTTTTTAGCTATTTTCAAGAAGTACTCCCAAATGCTCCATGTGTCAAAATATGTATCGAAAAAACCTATTCAAGTATTAAATTTTGAGTAGAATGCGTTTACATCTTAATTTTTTTGAGAGAAAAAATACACTTTTTTAATTTTTTTTTCCAGTGTTAACACTTTGAAATAATTGTTCAGCAATCGTGAGATGTAGGTTTCAAAAAAACATTTTCTTTATCGTGCCAACATTTTGATCTTTATTGAGATCATCTTCAGAGCCTGGGGTTTACAAACATTGTTTACATTTAACAAATACATGTAGGATGTAGAGAAAAGTGAATTTATACCATGTAAAATATATTTTTTATATTCAATCAAATATTGTATAAATTCATTTTTTCACATCCTACATGTATTTGTTAAATGTAAACAATGTTTGTAAATCCCAGGCCCTGAGGATGATCTCAATAAAGATCGAAACGTTGGCATGATAAAGAAAATGTTTTTCTAAAACCTACATCACACCAGACAGCATCTCACGTTTTTTGAATAATTATCGACTAACGGTCACTAATCACCTCACCCAACTTTGAAATAAGAATTGCAGGAAATTAAATTCTACATAAAATGAGACCAATGCCATCTCATAGGCCATGAATCTACAATTTTTGCCCAATTTTCAATGTTTTTACTTATTAGTAAATCCCTTGAAAGAAGGAAGACAGGTGAAATGAAGCAAGAACATTTATGAGCCATTGTAGCTCATAGTGAACCATTTTACATCAAATTTAATTTCCTATAACTTTTTTGTTCAGCATGTAATTTCCTATAAATCCTCAAAGTGTCTTTTTTTTGTTGGGGCCCACCCTGTATAACTAACTTATTTGAGGGTCGATGGGTACTCAATATTCCACAATGGGCTCTCTCTCACACTACACATTTATGCCAATAAATACATTCACTCTCAACACACCCTAGGGACCCAACGATATCAGTAGAGCATAACCCTGTTTCCTCCAGGAAACGAGGACCCTGCTACTCACTGCCATGCTCAAACACGATTCTCATAACGGGTGGCATTCCTACATGCTATGAAGGCACCCTTCAACTATACATGACACATTTCATACTGCTATGATTTTATATTTGGGGACATCCTGACCCAATACAAGCGCAGCCAGTGTCATGTTATGTCACCAGAAGGCAACTAACACCTCAAATTATATAAACAATTTGTTGCAAGCAATTTAATCTTTGCCGATGATCTTGGTCTGTCCATCCTTGCTGGGTTGGTCTGTCAGACGCGTTTCAGCATTTCACCGTCTTCAGTGTATCACTGACAGAACAACCCACTGAGGATAGGTTGTCTAAGATTGGTACCATTCTGGTTCATCTCCCAGAACCACAGAAGAAAATCTCACGCTTACTGTATAATTCTTAAACAAGATAAGAAAGTATGATATAAAGATTGCTCTCTATCACTCAACTGCCCAATAAAAAAAGTAATACGTGAACAAATTTGTTACTGCACTGAGCAATCAATGTATCTTGTTATCATGTTCTGTCATTTCTTCATTCATTGATCAAAAAACAATAAAATGGGAGGAAAAGTGACATTATGTTATATAATGTTTTAAATTAAATTAATCCCATTTCTTATCCAGTTTATAACAACCGGATTAGGCTGACTTGGAGAAAAGTTCTTCTTGATTTACATATAATTCACTCAGGGCTGTGGAGTACTCTACCCTCCATCACCGTTTAAACCTAACTTATAACTAACCTAATTGAGGGCTAATGGCCATTGCTATCTCCCACTACATATTCAACCAATAAATACATTCACTCTCATCACACACTAGGGGGACACAGGCACATGATGCAGTACTCAAACCAAAATCTCATAACAGGTGGTATTACTTTGTGCTCTCTGTTTGGTACCAAGGAATGGCACCCTTCAATTAAGTTGACACATTAAGCATCCTTTCTCTACATGCTGGACACATACGTATGCTTTAGCCCCAAAGTAAGTGTCTGAATCAACAACACATGGCCTAGCCTTATTCAGGTGAGGATGACCCTTCTTCTACAAGTCAGATCCTCTGTGGACCATCGACTGTGCTCTAGATTCTTAGAACTTTTTGCTAATTCAGCCCACGGACATTGCCACTTTCATTTAATCATGTTTTGTAATGCATTTTATGGTAGACGAACTTATTAACTACAATTAAACAATATTAAAATCCAAATATTAAATAAAATTAAAAAGATTAGATAATTTTACTATTAATATAAGCCAATTAGTTGTAGTGATTCTGTATTACTTCTAGGGCATTAATTTTTTTAATTACCAATGAGGTAATCATAACCTATAATTTAATTATCTAAAAGCAGTGATTTATTATGTGCAATGTTGAGAAATCAAATAAAGTCCAGCTTAATTAAAATTGCAATAATTATCATAAATATTTTATTTATTAAAATCAACATTAATCAGCATGGCATGATATATTTATCAATTAAAATGTGCAATAATAATTTAATTTTTATTCTTTCAGTGATGGTAGCAACGATACTTGGAGAGGATTAAGTGATCTTGGAAGAAGGAGGCAGTTATTACCAACTCGTTGTGTCACAAGCAGTGAAGAAGTTGATCCTCCACCTCTACAAGCACCCATTGCAAGACTTGATTCCCTCCAAGAAATGGTAGGTTTGATAAAATACAATTATAAGTTATATTTATTAAATTTTTTAAAATTTAATTGTGTCCAGGAGTCTGCATTAGTATCTTCTCACTCCAGTTTGTCTGACAACCAACCTGATTCAAAGTCATCACAAGTATAGTTAAGCCCAATTAATTTTTATGATCTCACATATTTATTAGTTCCTTGCTCTGTTACCTAGTAGTATTATAATTATGGTTAACAAATGTGTTGATCAATTCTACAGAAATGAATTTCGTTCATTTTTATAAAATATTATTTATAATATGATGCCTTTCAAGTTAGGTTTACAATGCGTATAGTTTAATTTTATTGTGATAATGCCATTGCAAAACCAAATTGTTGATATTGGCTTGGAGTGCAGCTAATTAGGGGGTTGTATAATGTTAGGAAAATATGCAGTGCCTCTTATAATTTTTTTTTTTAATTAAGTAATTCTAGCAAATTTTATCTTGTACTTTATCAAATAAAATATGCACTGAGTGCATGCACTTTGTGAATTGATAAATAGTAATTAATTATCCAACCATTTGTACAATTATGCCTCATTTTAATGTCTAGGGGTGAGTTGAAAACAAATTAAATTAAATAAGGTAAAAAATTAAAATTCAAATTATCCATTTTTGTGTTCTTCATATTTACAGTATATAAAAATAAAATAAAATATATTATTTTGAGGTTAAAAATTTTACAAGATTGTATAAATGTTTTATAAAGGAGAGAAAACATATTTTGTGACTTATTGTTAGCGAAAGCAATCTAGATATAGCATCCCAATAGAAATTCACATCAAGTAGGGTGTGATATTTTTTTGCCTCAAATATCTTTTTGTACATTTGAACATAATCAATTATTGTCTTTCTTATTTTATAATAATGGTTTACAATAAATCAAAAGCAATAGTGGTGTTGTATAAATTTATTGTTGTAATATTATATTTCAAAATCTTTTTGTAAAAAAATATATATAAATATATTATTGTTAACATTCTTAGAAAAATAAGTTTGTCAAATTTGTAAGTAATGTATATCATTCTTCAATGTTATTTTTGTTTCCAACACTAAAGGCAATGCGAATCTCCTTCCACTCCTGGACCCTTTGGATATAAAATGAATAAAATATTTTTTTAATAATAATCATCATTCATCAATAATTTATAACATACATCATTAACCACAACCATTTTGTATTCACAAGCAAATCTGATGCATTTCAACAAGTGAAATACAATAATGTAGATATGAATAAAAGCAACAAAAAAGTTTCTTGCTTAATAGACATAGAAAACAGGCAAAATGGTGTGTATAAAAATCATTATAAAAGCAACGTTGTTATTTGATTGAATATGGAAATATAGCATGCTCATTTCTTTAAGTACAAATAACAATGAAGAAAGCTTCTTCATGTCTGTGTTAACTTTTATCTAGAAATAATTATTTTTCATACAAATAATGCCTTTTTGATATATATGCAATTTCTTTCATTGATACACATCTAGCATTAAAAAAATGCTGCTCATATTGTATTGTAGCAAAAATTAAATTGGATGTTTTAATATAAATATATGAAAACAAAATCAATTATGAATTTAAACATATTGATTTTTATCTACAAATGTAAAGAATTAAAGCTCTATACATTTTGAGAAAACTATTCATATTTATATGTATATATAAATATAAAAATTCTCCCAATTACATATATTGAAAAGCAATTGCCAAATGCTACCTGGTCAGTAAATGAACTAAGTATTTAAAATTGGTGCTTTTTGCATTACTAATGATATGCTGTCTTATCTTAAAGACTTGGGCAGTCGTCTATTTTCTTAAATAGTCTATATTATAACTTTGATCACATAACAATTACCATGTTTATATTTGTTGGAGATAAGACGGACCAAGAATCATATATATTGGAAAGTTTTGTAATTAATGATCAATATTTTTAAATATGGTGCTTTTAGGCAGATTTATATTTGATTTAATTTCAACATCTATTTGACTTTTTATTTTAATTTTGCCCTTCTATAAGATGGCACAAATTGTGACATTAATTCAATGCAGGGTCTTGTATATAAATTCAGTTTGTAAAATAATTCATAAAAAGGTAGTTGCATTTTACAATGTCCATTTCTAAGGCAATGCTATAAGACTATAAATATTGTATTGAAAATCATATTAGCATTGTTAAAAGCTTGTAAATATTAATTTTTCTAATTATGTAATTTATTTAATTTTATTACACATAAGAAGAGCCAAAATTTTAAAAAGTTATTGCTTTTAATTTTTCTCCTCAATCCACACCTAATGGATTTAAATTGTATGACTAATATCATGACATCTAGAGCAAAATTAATACTAAACAACAGTACGTGGAAATAAATATTTTTAGATTTATCCATGTTATCAGTGAGGTGATGAAACTGAAATTTGATCGAAATTTGAAATTTTGGTTTGTCTATCAATGCTTGTTTGATCTGTCAAATGCATTTGATGAATGACACATGACAGACCAACCCATTAAGAATGGGCAGACGAAAAAGACCAGTAATGACTCCATTTCAAATCATAATATATGTATAACAAATGATTGATCAGTTTTATCAATTTACGATTTCCATAATATTTTTCACAAACACTTGACTTAAAAATTATCTGATTATGATTGACATTAGGCTGATAAAATACGATAAATACAACAATAACAAAATAAAAGTGGGGCGTCAGTGGCCATAATGGTTTATGTGTTGACATAAAGCTCATCACTGTAAGGTAAAGGGCCTGGGTTTGAATCCAGCAGCCCTGCATTTGAACTTACAACATACTTACAAATGGGCTTTTTTTTTAAACACCAGCACCCTCAGGGTTGATATGCACTGCTGTTGTGAATCCTTTAAAAAACAAATCCATGCTGTAAGAGTGAGCATCTATTCATAGTGGCTTGTTTTTGAAATATTCCTTTGGTGGCATTCTAAAATATTAGTGAGGTAATTTATGCATGATACACTGTCGTGTGCATGCTCCATTATACACATTAAACATTACCAAATGAAACTAATAATAATTGGTTGTAATTTCAAAAATATTCTAAGACGCAGCAACAATTTGTTTGGGTACTTGATGCAGATAAATGCATTTGATGAATTTCCCCACATAATCCCATTATAATCAATGCATTAAGAAGCATCAGGTTTGAGTGAACTGGTGAGGTTTTGCCAGAATGTAGAGTAATCACAGGGTTTTTCTAATATAATACCAGTTCATTTAACTGTAGATGTAATTTTACTCGTATTTATCCCATATTAGATTAATTTAAATCAAATCTCAACCGCTGTTTTCAAACATTTTCAAATATTTCCATTCTTTTTCCATTTACTAAATAAATTAATGAAGGTTAATTTTTTTTTTATTTTAACGTTTAGAAGGATTTTTTAAAATGTTGATGTTATGTCCTCTAAACACAGTATTATTACCTAAGTCCAAAGAAACCATATCTGTGTCGTTGCGTCACATACAAAGTCAATTACCACTGCCCTTGATAAAAATATGCATAGTAAAAATTGTATTAAAAAAAAAAAAAGAAGGAAATTATCAGTTCATAGTGAGAGGATTTATACTATTTATATATTGATATACACTATTCATACAAAATACATGATTTGCCTAAAATTTTTCATCAGAAAAGTTCAAATGCAATTCATATCTGAAAAATCTCTCTGTTCTATCATATATTTGTCACCCTTTCTCTCTCTCTCATTCACTCATTCTCTCTCTCTCTCATCACTCATTCATTCTCTTTCTCTCTCTCTCTCTCTCTCTCTCTCTCTCTCTCTCTCTCTCTCTCTCTCTNCTCTCTCTCATTCAGTCACTCATTCTCTCTCTCACTCACTCACTCTCTCTCTCTCTCTCTCACTCTCTCTCTCTCTCTCTCTCTCTCTCTTTCTCTCATTCAGTCACTCATTCTCTCTCACTTTATCTCATTCTCTCACACATTCTCTCTCACTCTCACATACTCTCTCTCTCTCTCTCATTCACTCACTCATTATCTCTCTCTCTCTCTCTCTCTCTCTCGGTCTCTCACTCACTCTCTCTCTCTCTCTTTCTCATTCACTCACTCATTCTCTTTCTCCCTCTCTTTATTGCTTGCGTAATAGTGGTCGCATAATTAACTTCAACAATAATTCTTTAATTAAACACAAAAGTTGACACAAACAGTATTAATAATGGTGTTCTTTTTTTAAAAGTCATAATGGTAATAAATTATGTTACAATGATATCCTTGATGATAACAAAATACTGTATCTCTCATTATATACATTTTTGTAATAATTGCTCAAGCATCTGTTAAAAACAGTTAGGTTTAATGCATTTTTTATTGTTGGTTCTATTGAATTGACAGGTGCTAATAAATCACGGAGAATTTTCGAACCGATTTAACCGATTTTCTCTAAATCAAGCTTTTACTGTTGAAATATTATAGACGATTTTAATTTGACATAAAGATAGCCTTTGGGTTATCGTAGATGTCTGCCAGTATCAGTTTTAATTAGGAAATTACGTTAAGCAATTAACCAATTTAATATATGCTTGTTTTTTGTTTTCAGTTCAAAGTGCTAAAGGACTCTTCCATGATTTAACTCGTCTTTCAAGATTATTACATCACGCAAATGTTCCCATTATAAGCATAATATCTTATCAGAGTTAATTATAAAAATCTCATTATTAAATTTCAAAGAGGGGGGAAAATAGCAATCCGTTTAATGAAATATATGATAAGATTTTTTTTTAACAGGGATCAAAATTTGCATAAATTTATTGTAGCGCCAAGGTTCAATTTGTATATTCCTTCGTAAGATATTTAAATTAAACTGGTTTAAAACGTCAGAAACAAATTGCTTTCATTAGTTTTCGTAGATGTCCGAACTATTATTGATCAATATATTTTCTTTTTTTATATTTGAGTGTTTATGATGTTTTATCTGTGCCACCTTGCTGTTTTTTTTTCTAAACGTCTAGACTGCTGGGTAGATAATGGAAGATAGCACGCCTTCCAAGAGCCACCGAATCTGGGTACGTGACCAGAGAACCGTACTTCAACTGTTCGGGGCGGCCTTCTAGCCCTTTTGACGTCAAAGGCAAGATGGATTTTCGGCCTTTCTAGATTGGAATAAAAAGGAAGTAGATTAAAATTCCAAGTACGCTGGTCAAAATAGAACAATTGACCTGTTCAAATATAAACAACCACTTGAAATTGAACCATGGCCCATACTCCTGGAATTAATTAACAACATTCTTATTTAGACAATAATTTGCTCCGTGATATAAACGTCTAGAAAAAATATTAGGTTTTTGTATTGATAATGATCGTTCTGAATTTGACCACTTTAGCTGTGTCATACTTAAATTAGGACCGCCTAGTTTCACTATTTTTATGATCCATTTCGACCTGGCTCTGTTATTTTTGAGTTGAGGCATAGTTATAGTTTTTTTTTTTTTTTTTGGATTTCTACCTTCCGGAAAAGCATTTAGTGCCGTGTCGCCGCCTTTTAATTTAATTCAACTTTGCGATTCGTTCGGATTTTCAGATTCTCAGACGTACAGCGCTTACACATGGTTTTCCACTTTCTTTTTCCCCAGTCAGCCTAATCCGTTTGTTATAAACCCGATAAGAAACGGGATTAATTTCATTTAAAACGTAAAATAATCTGTCACTTTCCCTCCCATTCTATTGATTTTTAATCAATGAACCAAGAAATTTATCTTAACTTTATTTTATTCAATTTTTCTAGCTTAAATATTGAATAAATGGAAAATCAAGATGGGGAAAAACATTTCTGTTGATGACAGGACATGATAATATTTACAGTGATTATTTAATGCAGTAACAAATTTGTTAACTTCATAAATTTTTATTGGCCAGTTGAGTGAAGAATAATTTGTTGGAGCCGTGAGGAGCGGTCAAAAAAGTGGTATTTTAGAAAAAAACACCTTTTACATTTTTTGCCTACGTTTCGACCTTTATTCGGTTCATCTTCAGGGCCTGTGAATTACATTTGTACCCCCACCATTGTAAACCCGGGCCCTGAAGATGACCCGAATAAAGGTCGAAGGGTCGGCAAAAAAATGAAAATGATGTTTCTTGGCCGCTCCTCACGACTTCAACAAATTATTAAACACCTGCCTAAAAAAGAAAAAGAAAAAAATTGAGAACGATCTTCATAATATCATACTCTCTCTTATCTTGATTATAAATTATATAATAAATCCTGAGATTTTCTCCTGTGTAGATGAACCTGTAATGTTATATTTAGATCACCTTGGTCTACCTATCCTCACTGGGTAGGTCTGTCAGTGGTGATACACTGAAAATGGCGAGGATAGAAAGACCTAGATCATCGGCTAGGATTAGATTACAAATTATAGAGTATATAATTTGAGCTGTTAATTTGCCACAATATGTCAGGTGATATGTGCTCCTATTGGGACAGGATGTCCAACAAACATGAAATCATAGCGGCATGAAATGTTTACTCGTAATGCAATTACTTGGCTCCATATAAGAATGTGCATTTTTTGGATTAGTTATTAGTTTGGATTATTAGTTCTGGAGTGACATATGTCTGAAACTGATTGTTGTAGTTTAAAGTTAAATTTAAAGAAATCAAACAAATTAAATTTTAAATTTGCTACTTTTTTCAACTAGGTACATGATAAATTAAAATGATCGAGTTCTAAAGGAAAACTAGATAATTTTTGAAAAGGAAAATTTTTGAAGTTGAATTTTTTGAAGGTCTTCTTCGTTCTAAAAAATGATACCAGAAACTCAAAAATTCATCGATCCGTTCTTAGGATATTGACGTTTTCCTTCAGAATTCGATATTTCAATTTCTCGTGTAACTGACTGTTGTTATTTAAAATTAGGCTTAACAAAATCAATACAAATTAAATTTTTGTATTTTATTCAATTAAGTTTTCAAATTTCTCCTTTTTTGAAGCGGTTTTGAAAAAAATCGATGAATTTTTGAGTGTCTAGTATAACTTTTATTAGAATGGAAAGGACTTTCAAAAATGATGTTTGAAAAAAAGGATATTACATTTGAATACAAAGAAAGCTAATCCAGGTCGGCTTAACGTGCTTGCCTAAAGGAATTGTATGTATTATATATGCAGCAAAACCTTGCCCACAAATGTACTCTCGAGTGATTGCCAGATGTACTTAACGGCCACTAGTTTGACTGTAGGTCAAATGCTAGGGGAACGCGATCATATATTGCCTGAAAATGTCCATTCGGAAAGTCTCGGGTAGGTATGAAAGTTGGCTGGAGTAGGTCAGTCACATCAAAGTGCGACCGATATCAGGGAATGTTTTCATCAGAGATTAATTCTTTAAGCTCAGCGACCTTTTCTTGTTCTGTCGCGAGTTCTTTGTAGAATTCTGACTTGGAGAGTGACACAGCAGCAAACAAGAAAGCTGTCTACCAGCGCCAACTCTTTAAATCCTACAGGTTTTGTGCGAAAAATTACCATTGGAACCACAGTTTTATATTAAAATAGGTAGAGTAAAAATAAAAGACCATTTCTTTTATTTTTAACCTATACATATTAGTACATATTACAAATGTGACCACAAACGTTTTGTTTCACATGGTCACAGTACTAATGTGAGCGCTGCACCCGAGGAAACCAGACAATGCTTGCACTCACTGGATGCGCTGGATTTTGGATGTCTTGGCAGAACCCCACAGTTCAACTCCGTAGGTCCACAGCGGTCGCAGTTAGGTTTTGTAAGACGTTTTCATGTTTACTGTTGTAGTCAAGACGGATTTTGGTCCTAGAAGTCTTCGGAGTCGTTGTTTCTTAAGTCTCGTGTGATGATTTCCAAGTCAGTCTGCTCTGTAGGTATAGACCTAAGTATTTGACCTTAGTGGAGGTCGGTATCTCTTTGTTTGTGGTGTGCAGTGGTGAGCAAGAACGTTTTTTCAGTGTGAACGTACACTGAGTACATTTTTCTTCGTTCAGTATTCTCTCCCACTTTTTACACCAATCAAGGCGATGGTATTAGGGTGAATAGGTAGGTCAGCAGAATAACTTCTGTAAAGGATGATACTCAATAATATACAAATATTACAAAAAATATATGACATTAATTTTTTGCTTTATCAATCATTAACATCTTTTGTTATGATAAATCATTTATTTTCAAGTTCTGATTTGGCGTTATTCAAATGTCCCTAATCCGATGAACAGCTATAAAAAAAGATATAAAACGGTAACATTTGCCAAAACTTAACCTTCACAGCTTAATAAATTACGTAATATATTAGCATCAACACGTTAGTTTAAATAATACATATTAAATTTTGAAAATAACTGATAACCTAAACGACTATGAAAACGATCAACATATTGACATTTAAAAGTATATTTACGATTTGTTTTTCTAAGAATAGAATATTATTTTCTTTGGCTTCGCCGAGAAGGTCAATGGAAGAATATCGAGTATTCCATTCTGATCACTCGGATATTCCGTTCACCGCCACTAAGAAAAGCGCAACGCTCATCACCGAACCCTGAGGGATGCCGTTCTCAGGTGATCACTGGAGAGCACGGCTCCCAGCCTGAATCGGAACCTACGGTTCTTCAGGAAACTCCGGAGAAAACGAGGCAATTTGCCTCTCAGACCGAAATCGTGACATTTCCGCAGTATCGCCTTATCCCTTACCATACGCCATATCGAGGTCTAACACACGCCCTCGAGAAGACAGACATGATCCACCGATGAGCAATGTCTACAGAATTCGGCTTGATACTGGTTGTAAAGTTCCTTCGTCTTGAATTCCGTGTGCGGCCCATGTGGACTCGAACTCTCCCATCATCAGGGGTATATTGTATACATCACTGGTGGAGCTTCCGCCGAACTCAATTTGATTACGTCCCGCCTCGGTTTTCTTTTGCTGGAAGCTATCGGAGTATGCTTCGGAATTGAACACCTTGGCGTAGTGCCGCGCCAGTCTTTCGGCTACCTCCAACACAATCCCACGATCGGTGGTCAATTTCGGAAACGACGGAAATTTAGATCGGCCAGAGAGGACTCTGACTTTTCCCATACTTCTCTGGCGGAAGTACAGTAAACAATTCAGACACTTCGCCAAGCTGTCCTTTGTAGAGGTCTGGGAGGTTGAGGGATCTTCCGGGTTTTTACAAGAAAAATGCTTTAGTGGAATAGGGGGAGGTAATATCGAATGGGGTGTTGCGATGGGTGGGGGTGTTGTCGGGTTGGTCGTGCCCGGGTTATGTGGAATCAGTTTTACTCCTTGTATCCTTTTTGCTCAACATTCATCCTCGGTTATTTATTTATTTTTGTGTGTGGTTTGTCTGTAAGTTTGTATTTGTACCATGTGAGTGCAATCCCCAACCTTTGGAGGTGATCACCCGGCCGAATCGGGTAAGTTCCGATCGCCCACAACCTGCATGGCTCAGGAGAGCCCCCCGTGATGCTCAGCACGGTAACCATCGCCAGTTGGCAGAACTAGACACAAAAACATTATGCACGAGGTGATAGGACAGCCTCCCCGATGTCTATGCCGGGGTTTGGGTACTTCCTCGCGGCCCGGGAGTGCCAGTTTTCCTCCGGTACCCTCACAGGCGTTCATGGACACTCAAGGGGAGAATTCCGCTTCTACGTGAGGGTTGTATGTTGTATGTGTATGTTTTATGCACCGTACTTTGCGTTTATTTTCTTCGGGTTCCGAGGCCCTTGGTCGCATTCATCAACATTGGTGGTGACGTGCCGACAGTTCATTCCCGCATACTCGGTCATCCTAAAAAGGACACCTGGCCTGTTCGGCCTTATCGGACGTTTTGATTCTCTTTGACCTCCGCATACGATAGGGTTGTGTTAC